GCTCTGTCTTTCATATATATTACATTATATATAAAAATTTATATATTTATTAACTTGTTTAATTTAATTCGGCAAATAATTAACGAAATTATGAAATAAGTTGTAAGAATCATTTTTTTTTCCTGGGTATGTCGCATAATTTTAGAATAGGATTCTTTTTAACAATTTGTTAATGTGTTCTAAATTTTTTTGTATTTTTTAGTTTTCAAAATGGAAAGTAATCAGGCACAATTGTTTGAAATATTTTCCATAATATTTAGTATTAATAAGGTAAAAATTATTTAAAGTTTGCAATTAGGGTATAATCTTTTCAAAAATAGTTTAAAAACGAATAGATTCATATGTATGAGAAACAACTTTAAAATTATCGCGATATTTAGTATTTTCAAGCAATATGTTTTTGAAAATTAGCGACTTTTGACATAACTGGCTCACTCTTTTTTTCTTGATGATAAAAGAAAAGTGTGATTAATATCAGGATCATTTGTTCCTGAGATAATCCCTCTTTCTTCCTGATAATAAAAGAACCTAAAGGTTTCCGTGTTGTAGGAAGATCACAAACTGAAAAAAAGACTAAAAGATTTTAACAATTAAAAATGATAAAAATATTGTCCCCAAAAAAATATGTTGGATAGACAAGACTAATATCTATCCGTAGTTTTAGTAAAGAAGTAAATAATACTCAAAAATACCATCTAAATTCTTTTCAGATTTTTTAAATGCATCAAAAAAGTGTTCAAGCAGTATTTATTTTAATAATTTTTTTTAGTTGATTTCATAATATTTAATATTAACGTGCAAAATATTATTGAAGCTTTGCGAGTTGGGCATTAATGGTAAAACAATAATCTAAAAATAAGTAAACGTATCGATGTGAACATCAATATTAAAACTATGGATAGACATCAAATAGCCGGAACAAATTTAATAACCATCATCAATTTATCCTTTTATATTTTTCCAATTACATTGGGCTTTGCAAAATCATCAAAAGATGCGCTCCATTACTTTTTCTTCAGCAAAATACTTTAATGGAAAATTTCCACTGGGACCCTCCGTCCGGGTTGTCTTTATGCTGTCCGACATTATTAGAAAATCTGCAACAAGATCAAAGCTCTGACGATGAAAACTGCAACGTCAAAAAAAAGGGAACAAAATAGCTCTGCAAGTTAGCTAATGGATCACGGATTGCTTTTAATAGCTTGGTTAGAAAGGCTTTCGGCACTAATGTCATTTGCTAGGGGCGAAGACCTAATTGTTTTTTATCGCCTAAAGTCAATAGTTTTGAAACCTTTGCGCCAAACACAGTTTGGCAGCACTTCGTTTTGGGGTTAATGAAAGATTAAATTCTCCGTAATGACCCCTCATTATAGCTCCCTCCCCCTTTTTCGAAAACTTACGCTTTTACCCAAAAAGAATAAAAAAAGACATGCATACCTGTTCTTCAGAGACCCCAGAGGAATTGTCGACATGTAATACAATTTTGTCGACCAACATGTATTAAATTTCGCCAAGGATGTATGCCAAGCAAATGGAAGGGGTGGGCGTTTGATTTTGAAGACCCCCCAGTCTGGCTCTGGTTCTAATACGGCCTTTGGGACTAGGCGAGTAAGGAAGCACTTCAAGTAATTGAATTAGCCGCCTTTTGCAATCTGGCGAGCTCTGGGATTGCATGCGAAACGACGCGATACGGCCTTTTCCTGAAGAATATATAACGTTATAATCTGGAACTGGTTTGTCGTGTGGGGGGGGGATCCACAGGGGATAGCGACCCCCTTCTCTTCCTTTAGTTTCTGCTGCCTATTAAAGATCATAAGCCGCTTCCCTCTATCTCAGAATTTAGAAGTGAAATGGAGGGTATTTAATGAATATTCACAGAATTTTCTCTCGCATATTACGGTTACAAATAACGTTTGGGAATGAGAGATATTTCTGCCATAAGAAAGGCTGTGTATGTAGATCATCATCACTTAGAGAACTGAGTTTGTTTTTAAGATGTGGTGGTAATGGAAGATTGTTTAGGATAATTACTTATTAGGTTTACAGATTTGTTGTTTCATCATTCTCTCCGATTCATGTTAACGATTCAGATCTGAGAATGGAATTAATTGTTTAGTACTCAAACTATAAAGAGCGATAAAAGTTTGTCATTTTTTTTTTTAAATTTGTCTTTCCTGATCGCATTTAAGCACTGCCGAATGATTGTTTAAAATCTAAATTTTGCTTTATACTAGTTATCACCTCAGATTAATAACTGTTCATTTTTAATTATTTATTTAGTGTTGTTTCTAGCAGCAAACAAGCATAATTTGTAAAAAAAAAATTTATATATTGCAACATTTATAATAATCAGCACATGATTCTAAATATGGCGACGCATTACAAAGGATTATGTAACCAAAAAGAGTGACGTATAAGAGGTGTAAGCAACATTTAATTAATATAATCAGTCAAGTACAGCACAACGGCACAATAGAACAGACGCAATAATCTTGAAGGTGCTAAAAATTACTGAACGTTCACTTCAATTATCAGATGACGCCAAATATGGCGATACTATAGAGAACGGGTGCAATAATCAAGAGGATAATAAAAATTAACAAGCATTCGCAATCATCAACAGATGAAGCCAAATACAGTGACTCGTTAGAGTCAGATAATCAGATAAAACCAAATATGGCCACACAATTGAAAGGATGCTTATGACCTGAAGGCCATTAAAAATTCTCAAACTCTAACAAATATCAGCACACGACGTAAAATAAGCACTCCATGAGCCAGGGGTCAGGCTTCAAAATTTTGTGGCCAACGGAATGGCAATGTGGTCCTCACTGCGTATGATGCCGCCTTTACTTGCCAGACAAGAGGGTACCTATCGATCTGAAACTGGACGAATTTCAAGCCGCCACTGATGTTCAAATCACAGTCCCTTCACAGTAACAGCTTTGTGCCTCCAACAACTGAGCCACTGTTGTTCATGTAAACTACTAAAATATGGCTACATGGATATGATAACCTATTGCAATAGCCTGAATCGATGCAATTAACTAAAGATCTCTAATAGGTATATTTGAAAATACGAGTAAAATAACCCGAAGTGTACGAAAAATGTTATCGCTCATTACAATCAGTACAGAGGTGATAACTGCTCCGGATTCAACAAAATATGGTAAAGAATAGTAGAAAGCTACGAACTAAAATTTTCTGATTTTCGGTTCATTTTCTCAATTTTTAAAAGGCTCAACACGGCTTAGCTATAACATAGAGGTGTATCGCAATAAGCCGTTGGTTTATTCAGAAATGGTGGTGAGTATTAATAATCCCTATAAATCGCATTTACCAAACCGAGAGATATCCATTTAAAGACTATCACTCAAAAATATTAAACTGCTGTCTGGAGCAAGTTGGCATCTCTGTCAGAACATAAGGTTAAATTCTGCCATGCAATAGAAAGAATAGATCAACTCAAAGCGTACGAGAAATTACTACAATCAGTACATAAAGAAAAAATTTAAATCAGGAGAATGCCGACTTTCACCTGTGAAAGTCAACAATCACATAGTCGCTTAGGTAAATATCCGAAATATTTGTTATATCCGAATTGATATTAATTTATTCGCTGATATTATTAAATGTATTCGATATTTTAACATCTGCTGAAGATAGATTGGGAGAAACATTAGTGTTCCGAATACCGGGCAAATGTATACATACCGGGCAGGGGCACTGAACCTTAAACAAACATCAGTGTATGGTATACCGGGCAGTGACATTTAAATAGACATAAGTATATGTGTTGGACATTTACCAAAGAGACTATGTGATTGTCAGCATTCACCGGAAGTTAACAACCAGCAATTTCGGTCATTCACAGTAACAAAGCCGCAATCAAGCAGATGCAGTAATAAAAATTCCCGAACACTTACCCGTATGTATATATGTGTGTTTCTTCATATCAGACTTCTGGTGGAATCGTTTACCACAATACTGACACGGGTAGGGACGAGTGTCGGAGTGTATCAGCAGATGAGTAGAGAGCGTCGATGAGCGTTTGAAGCTCTTTCCACACTGCTTGCACTCAAATGTCCTCTCGGCCGTGTGAATGGCCCTGTGCTGACTCAAGCTGACCTCATGGCCGAAGGTCTTGTTGCAAAGCTCGCATGCAAAAGGCCTTTTCCCGCTGTGAGATCTCCGAGAATGGACTTCTAAGCCATGAGGTGTACTGAACATCTTGTCGCACTTTACACAAGAGTAGACGTCACTCGGATGAGGATGACCGCTGGCGGGTTTCGAACCTGGACTAAGTAAAAGTCCACCATCTAAATGAGACAGAAGAAGAAGAAAAATTAAAATCATAATGTATTGTATATTTAGGATTACTTCGTTATAGAGATAATATTATATATTTAAAAAAAATCTGCACTCCTGTACAAGGACAAAGGTCGGAAAAATTAATACAATATCTGGTATTTGCTGTCTTTTTCTAATTTTGTGGTGAATATATCAATTCAGGCAAGTCACTTTCTAGAAAATTTTAAAAACTGATAGGAAAAGATCGAGAAAATAAATTTTTTTGACTATTTCGTACTTCCGAAAAATATTTTAAATCAAATATCTTCCGTTGCAACTGGTCAACTGAATTTCTAAAATGGACGTAAAATTAAAGCCTATGAAACTTACAATAACCTCATAAAACAAATGCCACCATTTTTTAAATTTTCCTAAATGAGCATTCTTTTTTGTTTTATTTTTGGCATGGAGTGTAAAAATTTACACTCTATAACAAAAAAATCGACGCACCCAGAAGGAATTGTCCGATTGAAACGAAAATTGGTGAATAGGAAGACAATGTACAGAATAATAAATGATTGAAATTTTAGAACAATTGAATAATTTATTGCAGAGTTACAGTAACAAGTTCAATCAGGTGTTGACCCTCCTCTAGCCTGGATACAAGCTGCCACAAACAAAACAGGTCTTGGGATGTCGTCGACGTACCGCTGTGCAGTAGGTGTACCTCTAATGACGACCAAAGGGGTTCGGCTGTGAAAGGAAATGGCACCCCAGACCATAATGCTTTGTTGATGGCCGGTGTGGCGTGCAATAGTGAAGGCAGGATCCCCCTTCTCCCTTGTGCGTCTCCAAACACGTCTTCGATGATCGTCCAGGACACAGTTGGAAGCGGGATTCGTCGCTAAAGACTATACGTCCCCAGTCGGCATCATTCCAGCCTGATTGAGTCATGCACCTTTGTAATCTGGCACCAAGAAGCAATCGGATGATTGCTTCTTGGTGCGTCGATTTTTTTGTTATAGAGTGTATACTAAAGGCAGGTATTATGGAACACACTGCATACAAAGTTTGTCAAAACTCTATTCCGCGTCTACGACAGCTTTCGAGTAACTCGGATAAAAAGTTTTTTTTTCTCATTAAACTAATCAGTAGAACAAAGTAAGTTTTTCTTGAATTTTAAATTGAGTCCCAGCATGTATACCATCATCATATCAATTTTCAAGGGATTTGTAACAAACTAAAGTACCTTGGCAATTTTAACTGCATTTAGAGCATTTATGACACCATATTATCAATTTTAATTGCATTTGAAGCAATAATGTTATCATCTCATCAATTTTAAGTAGATCAATAATGACTTCATCTTATAAATTTCAACGCCTTTTGCAGCATGAATGGCATCATCTCATCAATTTCAACTGAATTCACAGCATTAATGTCAACATCATATCAATTTTGACGGGATTTGAATAATTAGTTGCACTATCTTATCAATTTTAACAACATTTGAAGCATTAATGTTTTAATCTTATCAATTTTAACGTCATTTTCAGCATTAATGACATCATCTCATCATTTTTAACTTATACAGAGCATTAATAACATCCCCGAGTTAGATGTTAATGGCATAACATTAAATGAGCCTAACAAAATCATTGAGGGGAAATAAATGAATTTAATTTAAACTAAAGAACAAAAGGAGAAGTTCTCACCTTTGAAGTGAGGGTGGAGTGGATGGTGGGGGTGTAGGTGTTTCACTGAATCTGAGTAGGGGGATCCGAGTCCCAGGAGGGGAAAGGAAACGCAGTGTGCAAGAGACGGAAAAGGTCGGAAGATCTCGGCTGCAGTCGTGTAATGGGCGGGCAACAGGCCATTTGTTCCACTCGATGTCGACGAAGACCTAAAGGATTAAATAATAATTCGATTTAACAATAAACATTCGAATAAAAATGACAGAATAAGGCAGCTTTCTAAAAACCGGAGCATAGCATAGAACCAGGGATGCCAAAGGCGACCAAAAATTTAAAAAGTGGTAAATAATAAGAAGCAAAAAACTTTTAAAAGAGATTAAATTAAAAAAAATTTTCTAGCATATTTCTTCCAGTTTACTATTGATAATAAATGCTCAGATTGTTTCTGTTTTAAATATTAATAATTTACAATGTTAGTTTAACAATAAAATAGAGATTAAATAAACAAAAATGAATTAGGTTCCACCACTACTTGCATTTTTAGTAGTCCGTGGTATCTCTGAAGAACTAACTTTAAAGTTCTGGCAACAATTAACTTTAAATTTAATTTACAGTAAAATTTTTAAAGCAAATTTATGATTCCATTTAGTGACAAAAATAACTGCAAAATGTTTGCATAAATGAATTCAAAAATTATTTTTTCCAACCAAACTGCCCAGTTTTATACCATACTGTTTAAACAGGCAAATTGAACTCTATTTTTTTTTAAAAATATTTTCCAGATATTGCAAGATACACATATTTAACTTATTTTTAAAACAGCAAAAACAATATTTTTTTATCATTTTTTTAAGATTACTAAATGGACATATTTAGTTTACTTTTAAGAATTAAAAATGTACACTCTCAGCTTTATATTTTAAAATAATAATATGGACATAAATAGCTTATTTTTTAAAATAACAAAATGCACATACTTAATTTAATTTTATGATTTCAAAATGCACCTATTTAGTTTAATCATTTAAAAATTATAAAACGGTCTAACTTAGCTAATTTTTTTAAAATTGCAAAATAGAAATGATTTAAGTTATTTTAAAGTAGCGAAATGCATATTTTAAGATTATTTTTTAAAATTGCAAAATAAAAGTATTTAGTATTTATTTCAAAACTGTAAAATGAGCTTTTTTAACTTATTTTTAAAACTATCAGTGGACAAGTTTAGCTTATAGTTTAAAATTGCAAATGAGATATATTTAAAATTGAAAAATTATAGTTAATTTTTTTAACTGCAAAAACGGCATATTTTGCTTATATTTTAAAACATCTTGTTTGGATTATATTTCAAAATTGCGAAAGGGATGTATTAAACCTTCTTTGAAAATTATTGCCCAATTAATCTATTCAACATACTTTTTAAAGTTCCGAAATAGACATATTTTACTTGGTTTTTAAATTGTGAAATAGTTGTTACGTTAATTATAGTTGATACGTTAATTATGCGTTATTATTAACTTATATGTTAATTATGTATACATATTTCATTAATATGTTAATTTTTTTAATAATGGAATGTAATCGAGCAATGTTTAGCAATGCATCACCTGTGAAATATGTTAATTATAGTTCATACATTAATTACGTGTTATGTTAGTTAACATGTAAATTATGTATACGTATGTCATTAACATGTTAATTATTTTTAAAATGTTATGTAATTGAGGAATGCATCATCACCTGTGAAGCATGGAAGATGATGAGGGAGAGGAATGAATTCCGGAAGGAAAGAAGAGAGGATGAGTGCGCAGATCTCCTGGCCACAGTCCTAGTCCGAGTGACCGGAAGTCCGCTCCCGCAAGAGGAGCAGGAAGAGGATACTCCTTGGAGAGCACTCGACTCGCTTCCTGTGTTCCCGCATTCGATATGCTTTCCACCTTGTTACCTGGGGGTGAAAACAAATGATGACAACTTTAATAAAGTGAAGTTCCATTGAGAGAGATTCCATACTCAGAATTATGAGGGGAGGGTAAACAATACTCTAAAGTAAGGCACGCATATATTCCAAGATTATTTTTTTAAAAATTACTCTAACATTTTTTTAGGTTTGTTGCAATGAACCTATATACTATATTTTTTTTCCATTTTAAGTGAAGGTTTGTCACTATAAGACTAAGCAAATTCCAGTTGAATAAAAAAATTGTTCTACATATTTTATTTAGCCTGAAGGCATACAAGCTGATCTTCATAACGGATAAGATGCTGGTGATTTTTTAATTATAATGTTGCATTGAAAAACGATGGCACTATTTGCTAAGTGTAGCCAGTCGCATTGCAAAGTAATGGCAACATTCGAAAAGAGTCGAATTTTTCTACTAGTCTGCCTCTTTGCAAAATGATGTCAATATTTGTTAAAAGTCAAATTTTTTAATTAGCCTGTCGCATTGCAAAATGAGGGCAGCATTCGAAAAGGGCTAAATTTTTCAATTAACCTATCCCTTTGCAAAATGACGGCAATATTCGAAAAGGGCTAAATTTTTCAATTAACCTATCTCTTTGCAAAATGAGGGCAACACTCGAAAAAAGTCAGAATTTTTATTTAGCCCATACGTATATGAATGTTTGAGTGCATATCTACTTTTCAATATGCAGATGGTTTTGAAGCACGAGGAAGGTTCCCGGATAAATCTAGCTTATAGCTCAGTAGATCACACACTTCTTCACAGTTTGACTGTTATAAATTAGTATTATAACTAATTATGTGTAACTAATTATGTGTAACTACGGTTTTTATGGTAATTCTTTTTCTAAAGACGCATCTATAAATCTTACGTAAAATTCGTTGGAAAACACGAAGTTATTGAATAAATTGATAATTGCCAATTCCGCTGGATAATTTGTTCAAGTATTATTGAAATTAATTTTTATATTTTTTAAATTATAAGAACAACTAGCCGATCTGTTTGAAGTTAATGTTTAAACCTCCTTTTTATCATACATAACGAAAGCACAATTTTTTCCCTATAAAGCTCGTAAATATCAGCTGATCTCAGTCCATTTGCTGCAAAGCACCCTATTATCAAAAACAACAAGCTAAATATATAGATATTACTTTTTAAAAACGATTTCTTATTTTAAGAAGAAAAAATTTCCAGCTGTTCTCTATCCTGTTGTTATTGAAAAATAGTAAAAATCATAAGCATGAATGAGTAGTACTTTTTCAAAAATCTCTTTAATTTTAAGAAAGCATTTTCTTTTCAGCTGTCCAATTGTTGCTTAAATATAGTAATAATCCTACCAATAAGCAGTACTTTTCCAAAAATAAGTATTTATATAAAGAAAGTTTTTTTTAGGAATATAAAACTTTCAATCTCATTAAAGGAAAAAAAATTCTTTCTTTAGTAGAATGTGTATATTATAGTTACCTAATAAAAAAATTTCAATGAAATTAATCTCTTGTTTTAAACCATCTCAAGTACTAAGCTAAATAACTTCTTCAAAATTTTCACCTCGTTTGATCTCGCATTTAACAGCATATATATTTTGTTGATTTAGTTTATGCATCACGCAAGGATAGTTAAGTTAATATTTCCAATAAAGTATGTTATGGGAGGGGAGAATAACGTGTTAAAAGTGACATAAATTTCATGTTTTCTCATTTTTTAAAATCATTTTTTGAAAAATAAAAGAAAAATTATTTAAACGTAGTTTGTTCAATGTAAAAAAAGAACAGCCAAAATAATTTTTGATCAAAAGATCAGTTTTAAATGGTTTAACCCTTTCGCGCCGACTGTCACAAATACGTGACAGCATGAAACTGTATCAATCAGGATAAAAAGATAAAACTGGTAATCAAAGTATTTCTTTAGCAGTTTATTTGTGGGCGGAGTTATAATTGTTTGATTTATTTAATTCACCATTACTTTGTTCAAAATAAAACTATTTAGTTATACTTTGAATTAACATTGATTATATATATGATTAAACTAACAATAATTAAAGTAAAAGCAAAGTAAGTCTGTCAAATTAACAACGACTAGATTTAAGTTACCGTTTTTTATTTAATTACAACTTCATTCTGATTTTGTACGAATGCTTTTCTGAATCACCCGTCCCCAAGGGGTTAAGGGGCATACTTTAAATAAGCTAATTTATCAGTACAGATGATGCTTTTAACTATCTGTACTGATAAATACAGTACAGAAATTACGTTTAGGTGATGGTCAGTGTAGATGATGCTCTTAACTATCTGTACTTATAGATGCAGATAGCACAGTGCAGATGATGCTTTTAGCTATATGTACTGATATATTCAAATAGCACAGTACAGATGATGTTTTTAACTATATGTGCTGATAAATACAGATAGCACAGTACATATCATGCTTTTAGCTATCTGTGCTGATAAATACAGATAGCAGAGTACATATGATGCTTTTTATCTGTACTGATAAATACAGAAGCACAATACAGATTGTGATTTTATTATCTCTACTGATATATGCAAATTGCACCGTATAGATGATGTTTTCAGCTACAAAGAAACACTCAATACACGCAACAGACGTACAACAGATTCAAAGCATACTGTTTTGGATAAACATTAAACATACCTTTTTTATTTATACTTATTTATTTAATTTCCGTAATGAAGAGCTTCTAAAAACTACATTTATTTTTAACCTCAATGACTGACTGGATTTATATAACGAAAATGAACACAAAGCACATAAACTTAACCCTACTTTATCCATAATAATCACCCAAGTTATAATGCGTGAAAAATCAAGCAGGGACAGCTACACTATACCTAAATAAGAGTTTCCACTGACCAGCCCTAAATGTAAATATCAATTCACGATTCAGTGCCGCAGCTGCAAACGTCCTGGCCATAAACCTCCCACACAAAAAAAAGGGCTGATAAAAAAAATATTCCACGCCGGCTATGTGAACATCGTAATCGAATCAACCTCATTCACCCTGGCATATAATTCCTGATCATCCCCCCCCCCTCTCTCTTTAACCCTCTTATTCAAAGAGTGGGGGGGGAGAGGTCTCTTGGGGGCATGCCGCAGAAACGATACACTGATTCAATGACGGTGACTAAATTCAATAATTGAGTTGACCGGTATCCTTTTGTACAACCCCGCTCTTTGACTGTAACCGTGGGTTTACTGTCAATGGTCTTCTCTTAAGTGTTATGCTTTTAAAATATACGGTAGAAAAATCTGTCGACAGTTTTTTAAAGGGGATTTTCAAGTAGGGTGTGAAGTGAGAGAAAAAAAATCCGATAAAGAGGTAAAAGTGTCGGGATAAGAGGGGTTAAATTGGGGGTTTTATGGCTGACATTTGGTACTCAATTGGGGGGAGCAGATACATTTGTAAAGTTTTGAACTCATAAATACTTTATGTTGGTTTCTAATTTATCCATTAGATAAATAAAGAGATATTTTAAAATGAACATTCATAAATTCCCAATCAAATGTCTTTTTTTCTTAAAAAATAATATTGATTAATTTAATCTTCTTTTGCTTAAATTTTTATTGTATTTACCATGTCCAGGGTTTCCATGGGCCTCCTCAATTTTAAAAAATGGCAGAGATGCCAACTGCTCCGGACGGGCTATAATACTTTAAAAAACGGTAAACAACTACATACTAAAATTTCCAAATATTTGACTACTTTTGTTTACTTTTTAAACGGTGTCGCGTGACTCAAATGAAAGAAAGAGGCGAATTATGTATGCTTTTGAACTATTTACAAATAGTGGTGGCTAAAAACCTAATAAATTGAATTTATTAAACCAAGATTCACACATTAATAAACTACCACTAGAAAATATTTATTTGCTGTCCGGAGCATGTTGGCTTCTCTGGAAATGGTAACGAAAATTAATCAAAAGTCGATAATTTAATTTTTGTGTAACCACCACTAAAAATTGTTTTCCAAAGAAAGTATATGTGCATGAAAATTTCAGCTACTAACGACAAAGTGGTATATTAAAATAAGAAATACTTTCTAGCATTAACCTTAATTTTCTACCACCACTAAAATTTTTCAAGGACCGCGGGAACCCTGCGTATCTTTTTTCTCCACAACTTTTCATATCCTATTCTTACATAGTAACAACAAAGACGAAAACTTATTTCGCTTTGTTTAAAACTCTTGTTTAGTCGTTTATTTTTTAATGTGTTATTCCCAGTTCTTGTTTCAAATTTTAGTAAAATTATTTATTCTACCAGTACATGCAAAATATTGAACAGTTCATATAAATACGCAATCATGATCCCATGTCTAGCACACAGTTATTAAAATTTAAAATTATCAAAAATCTGAAGAAAAAAATTTTCTACTCTATAAATAGTTTTGCTAAAAGTAGAGCAGTTGGCAACGAGGAAAATAGTATTATCAAACGTATCCTCCACCATTTCAGGATTTTTCGGATTGCTGTAGTCAATCAGAAATTTTTAGAACAATATTATTAAACTTTAAGAACAAGACCATTTGTCTATCTTTCCTTTTTTTCCAACTGTTACTATATATACACAGTTGCAAATTTTCTATGCATTTTATGAACATTTCTCCTAGTGGCAACAAAGTTTAATGCTTCTTTTTATGCATAAAAATCTAATCGCAGTTTTCCATTGTTGTCAATACATTTTTATTGGCTGGAAAATCACATGGTAGGATCCAGTTTTCCCACATTAATTTTCATGTTGTTTTGGTTGTCATCAGCATAAAATTGACATTAGTCATAAAATTATTGCTCTCCTATAAAAAATATTGTTTTCCGAATTTAAAGGTTAAAATGACCTGTGCTGTCATTATTACGTTTTTGATTTAGTTTGATTTCTAAATTAAGAGTTTAGGAGGATTGTTTTTAATATTATTGTTATTAGAATAATGTAGTTTTACGTTATGTTTTAAGATAAAGTTATTTAAATTTGTGTCTGATCTTATAAACCGTTTTACAATTATTGTTTTTTGGCGCAAATGACATTAATACACTATTATTATTATAACTACGGTTAGACAGATTCGTTAAATGATTAAGACTTTAATTGTCAGTTTCATGCACAAAGTGATGAATGCAAAATTTGTATTTAAAAATATACATCAGTCCGTTTAGTAAGCAGAAATATTAAATTATCGTTGTGAACTCACCACATTTGTTATAACAATATATACTTTTAATTTTAAATGCTATTTCAAGAAATGATTACTTAGGAAAATGACTGATGTTCGCTTACAGATTTTAATAGTATCATAAGGGAAAAATTTGGACGGGGGAAGTGGAGGCACAAGTGTTCTTTTATGTACATATATTTTTAGTTGAATCATTTCAACTGTTTTATGCGAAGAAACGGTAATTATTGCGAAGCAATCATCGGGGTTGATGAGCATCAGCGAACAGGAGGTTAGTAAGAAATTGAAAGAAGTTGGCAACTTACTGGCAACACTTGTCGGTGGGATGACGGAAGCATTGTCGTTTGGAGGTGGTGCCAAAAGATGAGGGGTGAAGAAGGGAAAGAGAGGGAAACTGGACTCAAAAGTGGCAACCGATTTGAAAGCGGGCAAACCGTACCACAGTCCTGGGTAGCAGGTCCTCAGGGGCTCCGACGGCCTCACCTCTTCGTCTCCCCTGCTGGCCGCTCCCGTCGGGGGAGGGGAGGATGAATTTGCAAGACTCGAGAAAGGAGGCGAACTTTCCCCACCTGAAATTAGAACGAAAATACTTGTTTAGTGAAGACACACTGTGCATAAACTTATAACAAACATATTTCGAATTATGATGATCTTGACGGAAAAACATGTTCAGTTGAATTTCAGAGAATTTCAACTGAATTTGAGAGAAGTTCTTTTTGAAGTTAGCAGTGAATGGTTATGCTGTAAAATGATGTTATTACAGTTTTCCAGTTATTACATTTTTTCAATGAAATAACTGGGCTTGTCTGGTTTCATGTCTATGTGTGTATATTTTCGTTGGTGCGTTTATCACATATCTTCGGAATTTGTTTCGGTAGTTGTCGATTTTGTACTTTTGAGAAGCGGGATAGGCGCTTGTGTAAAGCATGCACATGATGCAGAGCAAACGATTGATGTAAAGATGAGTGGTTTCAGGGATTAATATGCGACTTGTGCTTTTTGAAGATTATATGTTCTTCCCAATTTAGATTCCCAACTCCAAGATATTCGCCTTTGTTGAACGAAATCCTTGATTTCATAATTAGATATTTTTAGTACATTATATTTTTTTATAATATCTACTAATAAATCTTTTCATTATATAAAAAATTTTTATATTAGGAAGTATCCAACTCAGTTTTCAATACCAATTTTTTTATCATACATCTTTTTTGAACCGTGGTGCCTCAAGGGATAGAGAGCTCGCCTCCCAATGAGGTGATCCGGGTTCGAATCCCAGCGATGACTGCTCGACACGAATTCCGCACCCGGCTCGCACCGACCACAGTGCTGACGTAAAATATCCTCAGTGGTAGATGGATCATAAGTCCCCTTGCCGTCAGGCTATCTTCCATCAGGAGTTTTTCGTGCTTTTTCTCTCCATGCAACGCAAATGCGAGTTAGTTCCATGAAAAAGTCCTCCACGAAGGCAAACTTTATCCCAATACTTGATCAAGGAGTTCGCAGGTTATAAAATATAAAATGCATCTTATTTTCTTACTTTTATTACCTTTTTTTTAAATGCTCCCGAGCCGTACGAACCCTTTCTATTATTTAGTTTTAAAGTGCGAGCTAATCAAGAGAAACATGAAACTCCACTGTTAATGGAATATTAGCACCACTTTTTACATTTTTTTAAGAACCGTACGAACCCTGATATTAACGCGCAACTATAAGATGCTCATAAATATATCTCTGAAGGACTTATAAACAGTGATAGGGGTATTATTTTGAATGTTCATATATAAAACAAAAATATAATCATTAAAATACACATTTTCCTACCACTAGACGAAATACTCCAGTTAAAACGTAGAAGATGACAGCTATGTATATCAAACGTTTATGTAAAAAAAAAAGATGGAGTTGAAAAAATATGTAAATATAGAACCACTGTGTTTGATCCAACAAAACAAAAACCAGCAATCGTAAACAAGATAAGGCTTTATTCCAGACATTAAATACACACTCATATTTATTTCCCCGCATCATGTAGGTACACAGGTGCGCAGAAACAACACAAGGTAAACTGTCATGAGAATGATTAATTGTGTGATTTCACTCAACAATAAACAAGGGAGAAGTGTCATATTTCACAAGAAGTTTGTCTTAGAATGGGGATTTTTTTTCTTCTTCTTTGGGTGAACCTGGTGTTACGTAGAGAAGATAAAATGGGGCTAAATAGGGGAGGTATTGCCAAACATGGAAGTAAAATATGAACTGGAAAAGGAGAGTTTATACGAACAGAACTTGGCATAACTCACATGTTAAAACTGATAGACTTGATATATAGGGAAGAGAGAGGCTATAGTGTGTACATTTTTTACAAATTTGCCAAACAAAAGTTTACAAATGATAATTACTCATTTGAATGTGTTCTTTTTTAATATTCTTTGTTTTTGTCCATGTTACCGTTAACGTCCCACATCAAGAGAATGTCGACTTTTACCGGTGAATGTCAACAATCGCATAGTCGCTTCAGTAAATATCCGAAATATTTGTTATATTCGATTTGAAATTAATTTATTCGCTGATATTATTACATTTATTCAATATTTTAATATCTGTTGAGGATATATTAGGAGAAACATCGGTGCTCGAATTACCGGTAAAATGCATACTGGGGAAGTGACACTTGACTATAAAAAAACATTCGTGTAGGGCAGTGTTTCCCAAACTTTTGACTTTTGCGTACCCTTTCTAAATTTTTCGTAACGCTGTGTACCACTGATATAAGAAATGAACGTATTTTTAACTATGAAAAAATTGCAGTAAAATTAAAAATCACAACTGGCTGTTGATATCACTAATTATTAACAGTTAACTCTGCCAAAAATAGCCAATAGAAAAATACGTAATCATAAATTTTCGTGGCTAGCTTTATTTTAAAAAAAAAATTTAAATTTTCGTTTGTTGCAAGATATTTCGCATAAGAACGTGTATCCCAGCTAAACTGTTCCCGTACCCCTGGGGGGACGCGTACCTCACTTTGGGAAACACTGATGTAGGGCATACCGGGCAAATGTATCCCGGACAGTGACACTGAACCTTAAAAGAACATCTGTATAAGGTATACCGGGCAGTGGCACTGAACTTTAAAAAACACCAGGGTAGGGCATACCGAGTAAATGTATACCGGGAAGTGGCATTGAACCTTAAAAAACATCAGTGTAGGTTATATCGGGCAAATATATATAGGTCAGTGGCCCTGAACCTTAAAAAAACATCAGATCAGTGTAGAATATACCGGGCAAATGTATATTGGACAGTGGCACTTAACTAAACCTAGTATATATTTCAAGCATCTACCAAAGCGAATATGTGATTGTCTACATTCACCGGTGGAAGTCAACAATATCGGAAGTTTGACACCTATTTCGGTCCTTCAAAGTAACATCCACACTAGCGTCATATTATAAGATTAGTGTGGACACATCTTAAAACTTTAATCTATTATTGCGTATAAAAAAGTACAATGCACAATGATTCCGTATAATCATTAATTCTTTTAATCTCAATACCGATCATTAAAGAAAGACTAAACAAAAGTGACTTTTAAAATAAGTAATAAGCATATTCATTTATAATATAATAAAAAAAAACAGATTGAATTAATATATAATATATAAACACTTGATTGAAACGATTGCCAGGATAGCCTATTTGCCAGGACGCTGGACTCTCGATCATGAGAACGGGAGTTCAAATCCAGCCGGTTGAAGGCGTATTAAATGGTGACTAGTGCACATTAAATTTATCGGGTCACAAAGTCCTCCATGTTCCCATAACAAATTTTACCTCTGGAGATACTGAATTGGAGATAGATCGTTTTCTAGTTCAGGTCAAAATTACGATCGGTGGGTGAATGAATGGAAGTATGAATTGGTCCACCCTATAACGTATGGGTGTGACAGAAGTCTTATTCTTGGCATAGATGGCGCTTCTGGAAAACAAGAACAATCGCACCCCCTCTGCCGACGGCAACAACAACATTGAAATGATGAATAAAAATAGTCTTGAGTTGCAATTACAGTATAAATTTTGAAGTTACTTTACACCCTAAAAACCTTGTTTTTAATTCACTGCCTGAGATTCTAATGTTCCAAAGTTTGTAACAAACAGAGGTAAAATTTGTAACTATATAAGAAAGTGTCACACAATATCACCAATATTTCAAAATTTACTGAGAATTTTTGAATGATAAATAACAGAAATGTTCCATTTGTTTCCCGTGTCCACGCTAGCCTCCGCCTTCCCTATTTTATCTGTAAAACTGATCGAAATTTTTTTTAAAGCTTAAGATGTTTAGGGCGTAACTGACAGAAATTAAATCAGAAATATTTCTAAGATAATTTTATCAAAGGTTACTAAAAAAGGTTACTAAAAAGGTTACTAATTACTAGGATTAAAGTTACTAAAAAAGGTTTTAATTGAAATTTTAAGTAAATTTGGAAACAGAAAGAAATTAAGAACTACTGGAACCTGCTTTTAGAATAAATTTTCATATCAAAAACTAATTTCTTCAGTTAACTGAAGAAAAAAAAAACCCAACTAATTTTGAATTTATTTTTTATTTTAAATATCACATAATTGAATATCGCATAATAAAACATCACATAATACGACCTAATGTATCTTTTTTCAGTAACTAAGCTCTTTATTGTTTTAAAGAATTTTTTGCGAACTATTCAAAAATTGTAAAATCGTGATTCTGCAATTGTGACAAACTTTCCTCTTTCCCCCTCTATTTCAGCGCCTCTGGCGGTGAACTAAGACAATCTGCTGGGAACCGCCGTCAAGCACGGACCTTTAATTCGGAACACTTAACCCCTCTTCTAAATTCTTGTATTTTTTTATTCTTGTTTTATTTTATATGTGTTTTGTCCTTTTCAATAAATATTTAGAGTTAGTTAATTTCTTGTCTTCATTTATGTGAATTGGTTAAAATACAAATAAACCCAGACTTCCCTCACACAATTTCTTTTATTTTAAATATTTTTTACAATCCTGTGTTTTGAATAAATTTGATTGTAAAAACGTACATTATCACTAACGTACGTAAAAACGTACTATCATTAATTTTGTTTTCATCATCATTATTAAATATATTTGGAAAAAATAATTAGCAAAAGATGTTTTATACAGTTCAATGGTTGGATGAAGATAAATATGTGTTTTCGCAGAAAAAATATTAATTTAAGAAAAAAAGATTCCTTTAAAACAATCATTATTATAGCGATATGTAATTATTCCATACAACTCGTATCTGCTTGATTATTAAATACAATACACATTCTCAAATATAATAATGATAGAGTTTGGCTAGTGTTTTGTTATATTTTAATTCATTATGCTATTATTTAGACATACGTAAAGAAAGTAAATAAAACTATTTCATTCCAATTTACAGTGAAAATTATTGCTCACGTTTACCCAGAAAATATAGAATTAAAATTCATTTAAAACTAATTTAAAAATGAATTTATTTTTATAAAATCGTAATTCGAATAAAGTTCAAACTAAAGTTATC